CAAATGAGGAGGAAGGGGTGGGGGTACTGAGTATCACTTGAATCTCACTTGCATTTGAACCAGTCAAAGAAGGGTCGAACATGCAAACAATTTGGTAAAGTATAGTTTGCTCAACAGGGGAATAGGAGGAAAGACGGAGAGAGAAGAGGGAGAAATGAGAGGGAAGATCAACTCAGGGAAGAATAAATTTTAAGCAAACAAACTCCAATCTCAGAGGGTGGTTCACAAAGGGCATTCAAAAGGAAAGAAAGAAAGCCTAAGAACCTGTGATTGGTTTCTGGGATAGGGAAAGAGGAGATAGGAAGGGAAAGGAAAGCACATTGAATCAAGCATAGACAACTAGTGCTAACTATACTCTTCTCTCTCTTATTTGTAAAATAATCAAGAAACAAAGAAAGGATTAAAGTATAAGAAGAGGAAGGAGTGAAATCCCCAATTAATAATTATAACTCTAAGCATGAAACTCTGATCAACGTAATTACCAATCCACCTCCCGAGAGAAGTGATGCAGAATGAGGTTGGTGGTTCTGAACTTGGCCAAAGGAGGAATTTGTCTTCCTCGACTATGACGTTTTGTTCCGACAGTTTTGTTTTTCTTTCATTTCAGTTGTGGGCAAGTTAAATGGGAAGGAAAGAGGGTTTAGAAATAAGGTTCCTCCTCCAAAATGAGAACAGAAAAAAAAAGCCAGAAGGACTCACCGAAAAGCAAGATAGCTTTGAAAGTTGCGTGTATTTATTATATACTTTCAAAGAAAAGTGTGTTATATAATGGAGATTTACAAGTTTAATGTACAAGCCCCTCCTTCTGTCCAATAATGTACATAGAAATGCTACTTTCATTTAGTGTCTGTAAAGTCCAGAAATTTAAAAATTTTTTTAAGAAAAAACTGTTTACACTCCACTTCCCCTCCTCTAAATCCCCTACACTCCCTACAATTTGATCTCCCTCATCACTCCGCTGAAACTTCTCTCTCTGTCTGTCTGTCTCTGTCTCTGAAGTGTGCAGGCCGAATCTACCAGGTCTCAGCTTCCTTTTTTCTCAGTTTGATCACTTTGCAGCCTTTGACATTGTGTTCTCCTGGACACTCTATCCTCCCCGGGTTTTTGCGATACTCATCTCTTCTGGTCCACTTACCTGTCTGACCAATCCTTCTTGGTGTCCTTTGCCCATTTATCATCCACGTCAAGACCGCTAACTTTGGGTGCATCCTGAGGCTCTGACCTGGCCCTCTTCTTTTTTCTCAACATTCCCTCCCTTGGTGACCTCAACAAGACGGGTTGTTAGAGCTAGAGGACCTTAGAATATAGAATATTAGAACATGGCCTATAGACTAAGGTAGCTTGAAGAGACGAGTAGAGGAGGCTAGAACACAGGTGACAGAATATCAAAGCTTAAAAGAGTCCTTGGGACATAGGATGTTAAAACTATAAAGGACTTCAAAACATAAAACATCAGAAATGGAAGAATTCTTAGAACTAGAAGGGACCTTAGGACATTGATTACCAGAGGGACCTCTAGGGCATGATGTAGTGGAAAGAGGGCTAGGTTCAAATCTTGCCTTGGTCATTTACTGTGACCTTGGCCAGATCTCTCTGGGTCTGTTTTCTTATCTGTAAAATAATGGTATTGGACGAGATAACTCTACAATCCCTTCCCACTGTAAACATATTATTCTGTGACCATAGAGAGACAGTGTGACAGTGACTTTGGAGTCAGGAAAACCTAGGGTCACACCCGAACAAATCATTTAACTGCTCTGGGCCCTAGGTAACTCTGTAAGACTGTTGTTTGTACTTCATTCTTTTTTTTTTTTTTTTGGTAAGGCAATTGGGGTTAAGTGACTTGCCCAGAGTCACACCACTAATAAGTGTCAAGTGTTTAGTCTGAGACCGGATTTGAACTCAGGTCCTCCTGACTCCAGAGCTAGTGCTCTATCCACTGTGCCACCTAGCTGCCCCTTTGTCCTCCACTCGAAGAGGACCAATGACATCTACATGTGGGTGATTGAGCAGGTGCTGATCTACACTAGTGGGGGAATTTCTGCCACTGGAGCACCTCATATATCAGTGAAATCTTAGGTCTGGTTAAAAAATATATATATATATATGTATAAAACCATAGAGAACATCTAGTCCAACTAGTTAGAATAAGGGCTATTTGGAGAAAGTAGGACACTTGAGCATCAACCCTAAATATGAGTCAAAGAACTGTCCTTCCTGATGTTAGAGAGGGGGTTGAGCAGGCTCATGGAGTCCTAAGCTGGAGGGATTCAACCCTGCCATCTTAAAGTGGGGAAACTGATGCCTGGAGAAGGGAAATGACTCACACAGCTAACTCAAGACTTGAAAGGGAATTAGCAAAGTCCATATATATGAAACCTTCACGGGGCTGGACTGGAACTGGATTGAACTTATGGTTTCACGGCTATAGGGCCCTCCCAACTGAGGAAACCCATCCTACAAAGTTAGGTGGTACAGTGGATAGAACTTTGGGTTTGGAATCAGGAAGATGAAGAGTTCAAATCCTGCCTTAGAGACTTAGTTGTGACCATCTGCATGTCATTTAACCACTCTTTGCCTCAGTTTCCTCATCTGTAAAATGAAGGGGGTTGCACTGGCCTCCCAAATGGAAATCTATGATCCCTTACCAATGTAGGCTGGCATCTTCTCTGCAACTTAATGTCTCAAAGTTGCCTACAGCACTAAGGTAAATGACTGAATTGCTTAGGGCTACCCAGGGGACATGTGTTCCAGGCAGGACCTGAAAAATTTCCTGCTTCCAAGGCCAGTGCTCTATCTGTTGCCTCTCATAGTCGGGAGAAGGGATCAGTTGTTCAATTCCAATTCCTGGGAAAGTTTAAGTTGTCTTTTAAAAGGTATTATTAAAATATAAGACAGGCTAAGGAGGATGGAACTTGCTAAATTATAGGAGTGGTAAGCTGAAGCTACCTGGGTATTTGGGTTTTCTTTGTTAATGTAGGGCTAGTGGTCCAAGCTCCTCTACGCCCAATCCTCCCTCTCGGACTAGTGATTCCATCCCATCCCTCTTATGTCTAAGATCAGAGAGCCAAGATAAATGGTCAATGGGCAAAGTTTTCAAAAGAACCACATGAAAATGGGTTCCAAATCACTGCTAATAAGAGAAATACACATTGCAAAACAATGGAGGTTTTACCTCATCCCATAGAAACTGGTGATGATGATCAAAAATGGAAATAGTGCCGGAGGTGTGGAAAGACAGGCACGCTATTACCAGTGGCAGCGTGAAGCAGACCAGCTGTTCTAGATGTCAACTTGGAACTCATTTCCAAATTGTACTCCTAGCTTTCCAGATTTTCTCTACCATATCACGGAAACCTGTTTTTTTTTCCTCCTAGTTTACTCACCCCTCAACTTCTCACGCTGGACACATCCTCTGCTCTATGGCCTTTTCCTCTAAGTGGCTGGTTTCTCCCAGAATATCTATTTTAAGAAGGATGGCCACGTCTGCCATGTTTTTATCCCTCTCTAGGCTGCACTCCTGACTCTAGACATCTACCATGCCCCATGAGGTTCTACCCCTTCCACTCCCCCACCACTAAAATGTCATCTCCTTTACTAATGCATTGTTGGTGGAGTTGTGAACTGATCCAACCATTTTGGAGAGCAATTTGGAACTATGACCAGAAAGTTATAAAACTATACATACCCTCTGACCCAGCAACACCACTACTAGGTCTGTATCCCAAAGAGATAAAAAAAAAAAAAGGGTGGGAGTGGGGTGGGGGGAGGACCTATTTGTACAGAAATACTTATAGCAGTTCTTTCTGTGGTGGCAAAAAAAGTGGAAATTGAGGGGACGGCCATCATTGGGGAATAGCTGAACAAGTTGTGGTATATGATTATAATGGAATTTTATTCTGCCATAAGAAATAATAAGCAGGATGACTTTAGAAAAACCTAGAAAGATTAACACGAACTGATGCAAAGTAAACAGAACCAGAACATTGTACACAGTAACAGAAGAAGTGTGAACAACTTAGCTCTTCTCAGCAACACAATGATCCAAGACAATTACAAAGGACTCATGATGAAAAACGCTATCCATTTCCAGAGAAAGAACTGATGGAGTCTGGATGGAGATCAAAGCATACTATTTTTCACCTTTTCATGTTTTTTTGTTGTCTTTCACACGACTAAATATGGAAATGTTTTGCACGACTGTGTATGTATGACCTATATCAAACTGCTTTACCTTCTTGGGGAGGGAGGGAGGGAATTTGGAACTCAAAATTTTTAAAAACCAATGTTAAAAATTGTTTTTACACGCAACTGGAAAAATATTATTCAAATTAAAAGGAATGTAAGCTTCTTGAGGGCAAAGACTCTCTCATCCTGCATGCATTTGTATTCTCATCACCTAATGCTTCTTGACTTGATTTAAAAAAAAAAAAAGAGTTAATCTGTTTATACCCCTGCATGAATCGAACTCTCTAAGGACCTATGCCCCAAGGAAGTCAAAGTCAGAAACAAAGGTCCACCATAGGCCAAAATAATCAAAGCAGCATCTCTGTACTCTGTAGTGGCTGAGGGAGTGCCCATAAATTGGAGAATAGCTGGGCAAACTATTGTCTATGAATGCAACGGAATATTAGTGTGCAGTAAGGAATAATGAAAATAAAGTATTCAGAAACATGGGAAGATTTGTACAAATCAACACAGGATAAATGAGCAGGGCCAGGAGAACAACACTCCACAACTACAATGGAGTAAATGAAGATGCTACTACAGGACGTAACCGTGGAACAGCTGAGGGATTTCATGAAGCAGCTCCTTCAGGGGAGAGAGGCGGAGGATTACCAGCACAGCTGGTACACTTTATGCACTGCTACCACTCTGTTAGAAGTTTCTTCATAACTGTTTTTGCCACAATGGTGGGTTTGATCTAGAGGTGGGGTTGAAATGATTGTGATGTGACATCAAGGAAACATTTAAAAAAAAAAAAGGCCAAAATGAGGGAGTAAGATCAAAAATAATTTTATTCCAAAGTTCCTCTTGCCCCTCTTTTCTGGGGGGAGGAATAAAGGAGTGAAGAGAAAACTCATTTCCAGTTCCAGGCATCAACATACAAGGAGTTGGGGAAACCCTTCCAACTCTGACCCATGCAGGAGGCGCTAAATATATGTTCAGTTAAAGTGAATCTCATGACAGCACCTGAGCCTTCACTCCTCAGCTAGGCTAGTAGTAAACAATAGGAGTATCCAGACAAAAGCTTTGCTAGGGCAGCTGTCTGGGCATAGAGTAAAGAGGGCATCCACGGGGCACATCAAGACTAGCCTCCAGGGAAACCACCCTCTTGACTTTGATCCACACTCCCCACCCTCCTTGCTAATGGAGAATCATTGGATTTCGAGGTAGAAGGGACCTTAGGGATCTAGTCCAACCCCCTTCTGGGAGCAAAAGGAAGCTGAGAATTCCTTGGACATTCTCTGAGGGATTACAATAGAGGTCTCCCAACTTCAACCCTTGAGCCAAGTAATTCCTGAACAAGTCTGACCCCTACCACGGCCACAGGTCAGGGCCTCTTCCCTATGGTGTTAAGATACCAGTAGTGATCTAAGCTTCTGGATAGTCTGATCATTGTTTTAGGTTCTTGGGATAGGGGGTGGGGGTAGAAATGGTAAAACCAAAACATTTCCTGGGGATGTACAGAATGGAGGGCAACAGAATCAGGGGCTCAAGGCCTGTTTCCTTCCATAGGGCCAAGAGTCCCCAGCAATAACTCAGCTACTAGCAGCACTGAACTTACGAAGTGCACAACCAGGAGAGGCCCTGCTGAAATTACTGACCAGGCCAGGGCAGGCTGAAGATGGCATAGGGTCTTGGAGGGTCCAAGGCAAAATACACCATCTAACTGGCCTCCTGCCCATTTTCCAACATTTGCGTCCAGAGGAAATCAGATCAACACAAAATACCAACCTCTGAATTGGAAAATAAGCCGTGAACAAAAAGGCAACATGCACTGTTTGCTGTGCCGATGGCCACGCGTCTGCAGAGGGTGGAAGGATTCTAGTCCTGCTTCTGACACAGTGACCTTGGACATCACTTTACCCATCTGAGCCTGAATACTAATCTGTAAAACAAAACTGATAGTTTCCATTCCTGTTCATCTCTAAAATGTTACAGGATGGTTGAGGAAAGCACTGTAAATACTGCATTCGTTTGAGTTAATACTATTGGCAGATCACATAGGCACGTGCCTCAAAACATTCTGAAAGGTGGCTGATCACCTCCATCCTCCAAAGTCACAATCAGGCCCAGGCTTCGGAAAGCCTGAACACATTCTAAAACTCAAGGCCCTCCAGTTTACAGAAGAGGAAACTGAGCCTCAGAAGAGACTTGCCCAGCATCAGAGGTGGTCAGTAATAGGGCAGGGGCTTGATAGGGCATTGATTTCCCCCCAGATCCCAGCACTGGTGCCTCAAGCATTCTCCTCCACGCATTTGTTAACTAGTTAACTTCTGCCATCGTCATAACAAATGAAGACATGGTGCGTCCACACAACCACCCCGTGAGGTAGATGACACACACACACAAAATAAATAAATAACCCACCAAGTGAAAAGGCTTTCTATTCATCCCCTGCCACCATTAATTAGACTGTAAATGCCTCAATAACATTAGTAAACCCAGCATTCAGCAGAGGGTTTTACACAAATGAATCCATATTAAATTCCATCATTAGTTACAGACTGTCTGGGCCTCTTTATATCCTGATTCTATTACCCATGTATATTAGTTCTCTCTCCTTACTCTACATTACCCAGAAATTTAGTGCCTTCATTCACATCACTGATTAAAAAACACCAAAATAGGGCCAAAGACTAAGACCTACTGTGGCCCATGGACATGCCCCTTCAAGCTGGCAGTGATCCATTAATCCCTCTTGAATTCAGTATCCAAAGGGTTCAAACATCACCTAATTGTACTGTTATCCACCCATAAATTTCATGGAGTTCACAACTGTACCACCAGAGACCTGGTAAAATGCACTGCTAAAATCCAGGTCTAAGCAGAAACTCAGGAACGGAGAGAAGACAAGGCTGGGGGCCTCTGGAGGTAGGGAGCTCCCTGAGGGCAGGAGACACCTTCTCATCGGACCAGGGCTCAAATACAGAGCTCAACCTCTCCACAGCACTCAGGACAGTGCCCTACTCTTAAAAGATATTCCATCTGGATTGACAAACTTTCCCTAAAGTGGGGTATGTGTTAGGGGAAGGGGAACAACACAGCTCTCCTTGGGCAGGGGTGGGGAACCTGCAGCCTCAAGGCCACACGTGGCCCTCTAGGTCCTCAAGTGCAGCCCTCTGACTGAATCCAAACTTCACCCCTGTCTTAGGGAATGGAACTTAGCAACTCCCACGTAAGCCTGAGGCAGCAGCAGGAAAAGGGGGGAGGGAAAAGGAACAAAGATTACAGAGCGTCATCCCCCCCAGTACACACACAATCGACCAAGTGCACCTCTCCCTGCCCAGTTTATGACCTCCAATAGGTGGGAGTGACAGAAGTCATTCCCACCATTTGCCTTCACCCAATGTCCGAGAGCCCTTTTTCTGGATCCATCCTGTGCCCCTTATATCAGACATATCTGTGTGCCATACCTCCCCCACTAGGCTTTAAGCTCTCTTGAGGACAGGGAGCCATATTTCTCCTCTTTCTACCCTCAGGGATGAGCATAGGACTTTGCACACCATCGACACTTAGTAAATGCTTGAACTGAACTGCTGGGGTCCATGGACTCGCATGCCAGCCCCATCTACTCCATTCCTCTCATCCCCTTTCAATTGTTTCACTGAGTACATGGGCAGGAGGATAAGGGAGTCGAAATGCTGGGCACTGGAAGAGGAATCTGGAGTGTGACAGTAGTGCGGGTGAAAGGACAGATGTCAGAGTGGAGGAAGGAGGAGCGACAGTACACCCAGAAGGTGAGCAGCAGTGCTAGGGCCTTGGCTAGGGAAGGGGTACATGGATGTTTCGTCCTCCACGGAAGCCCAGCGAGAGGTAGACATCAAGGAGTCTAAGAGCACCAAGAGACTAGAATGACTGTCTGGGGGCGGGGAAGCATCAGCCCCTTCCAGCAGAGGGTGGGAGGAGCACAGGGCTGCAGGGAGAGGGTTAGCTGGGAGCCCCAGAAGCTTACTGTATTTGTCTCATGCACAAGGAGACACCCCCCTCCCTGCCCTGCTCCTTACGCTCGCGATCACACTCATTCTCCTTCCCCATAGGCACACGCGCTCACAGAGCCAGCTCTCTCTCCCCTCCCCACTAAGCCAAACCAAATCAATCTTCCCTTTTCACCCTGCTGGGATCTCTTCATTCTACGAGGACAGGGCGGCCTCAGTATCTATTTTTCTGGCCTTCTAAAAGGAATTCCCCTTCCGTTCTAGGCTTGAAGACAGATTCCAGAGCTCCCTTCCAGAAGGGGTTCTAGCATATATTATGCTGCCCCTTCCCCCCAGTTCCCCAATATCCAGGGCAAGGAAACACTGGCAAGGCTATTGCCCACTGCTGACAGAGCTGACCCAGGCTCTTCCTCTTCCCTGATCCCTGGCCAGCCAGCTGACCAGCCATCCCACCAACCCCTGACCCCCACCCTCAGCCTCTCAGTCTGGCAACAGGCTGTCCAGCTGGGCATCATCCAAGCGGTTGGTGGTGATGATGTGTTCCAGCTGCTGGTGGTAGCGCGTCAAGTCCTGCATGAAGTGAGGGATCCGAGCCTTTTCCAGCTTCCCGTGAGGCCGGAGCTGATTCACATCCTCATAGGACACCTGGAGGAGAAGAGAGAGCAGGTCACAGGGACCGTGGCCGTCACCGAGCAGCAGAGAGGCCCAGCGACTTGCCTCTTGTCGCCCAGCTGGCCCGCGGCCCCGGCTGCCGTGACTCCACAGCCAAAGCTGGCGCTCTGTCCACCACAACACAGCAGCTCTCTCTGGTCTGAGGGCCAGCCACACACCAGCAAGCTTCTGACATACTCACAAGGCCTGTCGATGGATGCTAGGACTGGTCTGGATCCTACAGCAGGGATGCCGGGGAAGGCACTGGACAAGGCCAGGCCCGTGAGTGGCCCTGAGGGGAGAAGATGGAGCCCCCTCCCATGGGGCCAGCCTCACCTTGCCCAAAGCAGTCAGCATATGGAAATCAATATTCTGCCGATGCCGCAAGATGCGTAGGATCCCATCCAAGTACACCTGGTCCTTACTGAAGCAGCCTGCAAGGTGTGAAGAGACTGAAGAGACCCTCCCCTCCAGGGAGGAGGAAGGCACTCAGGCACAGAATCTCAGCAGGAAGTGACCTCAGGAGTCTAATCCAACAGCAAAAAATCCCTCTACGATATCCCCAAGACATTATCTAATCTTCACCTGAAGACCTTCACTGACGGGGAGCTCACTACCTCCTGGGGAAGCCCATGTCCACTCATAGAGAGCCCTCATCATTGGACATGCCTCTGCAACATCTACACCCTGATCCTCGGGGCCAAACAGACTGTGTCTGACCTTTCCTCTCCATAAATACAGGGCACTCAGTGGATGGGACTCTTTGTCCATCCAAGCAATCTTGACAAGAAAAAAGAAAGGTCCAAAAAGAGTCTGGACAAATTGATAAGGAGTTCTAACCCCCACACGGAGCACCTCGGGCACAACGAGGTTTGCAGGCTGAGTTTAGAAAAGGCAGCGTTCTCTTTCCCAAACCCTCTCGCTTTGGGACTGTGGCTGGCCCTAGAAAACGGATGAGGTAGACAGCGGACACAGTAGGCATCCTCCAGGTACGTCACTACATACCCCCCACCGAAGAGCGGGATAAAGAGGTAACAACAGGCACTTCCTCATTCAGGCTCTAACGCCACATCTTACTGTCCGCAGACCTGGGAGGGCCCACCATGGCTCAAGGACCCATCTCTTTGGATTCCGCAGGGTATGCTGTCCCCAGCTTATAAACACCCCGTGAGTACCGTCGCCCCAGCCAGGGGCTCCTCCCTCTTGTCTCTGCCATATTTGGGGAAGTCAGGACCCTCCTCCCCTGCGGCCCCCTCCTGCCTACTTCCTGGATCTCGAAGGAGTTACCCCATCAAAGATGGATGTAACAAAGATGTTACAGCTAGGAGGAAACCTTAGAGATCACCTGACCCATGCTACAGGGCACTCCAAAGAGCACTGGGCTGGGCCCTCAGAAGATCCTTACAGCTACAAAAAAGGTCACCTCACCACTCTGTGACTCACAGTGATACCTATACGCCCACCTCACCTAAGGTTAACAAGCCACTCTGCAAACCGAAATGGGCTGAGTCCTCCATAAAGGTTATTTTACAGATGAAGACACCAGGTCCAGGAAGACCTGCCCACCATCACATGAGTTACAAGTGGCAGAGCCACGACCCGGGCCTGTGAACAGCACTCTTCCACGAGACAGGGTGGTTCAAGTTCTAAGGAACCCCTTTATAAAATGATTCTTGGGGACACAACTCGCTCACAAACTGAGGGAATGGGGGTGGGTGATGGGGACTGCGGCTTGACAAGCGGAGCTTAGGGAATGGACTGAATCATACCAGGAGAGCCAGGTTTTAGTCTTGACTTCGCTACAAACTCACGAGGTGGTCCTGGGCGCGTCCCTCTTCCTCTGTGGGCCTCCCCCCTCCACCCCACAAAGGGCCCTTCTGCTCTCCTCCCCTCCGGGTCTAGAGTGTGCAGCCCCTGGGGCTCCCTCACCAGGCTTGGACGTGTCTGTCTGGCCCCGCTTGGCCCTCACACAGTACTCCCAGCGCACCGAGGCGTCCTGCACATACTGGGCGAGGTCCTGGAATAGCTGGCGGAAGGACATCAGGGCCGCCCTCTGGATGGTGTAGTACAGCAGGGCTGCCCGCCACAGGAACGGCTGTTTGCGGAAAAGCACGCTGTGCAGGCTGGCCAGCCCCTCCTCAGTGGGGTTGGCAGGCCGGAGCCCATACTGCCGCCGGCCATCAGAGGTGTTCCAGGGCTGCCGAGTGTTATTGACAAATCGAAGATAATGGGTGCCTGTGAGGAGGTAAGGAGAGCTGGGGACCACAGCCCGAGGAAAGCCCCCTCCCCAACTGCCCCCAGAAGCGATGCACAGCCCTCCCTCCGCCAAGCTTCAGGGGATCACCACCCTCCACACACCTTCACTCACACACACTTGCCACACCTAAGAAACACTCACTCATTCACTCTGACACAAATTCACAGACATACAACAAAGAGGCACACAAAAAGACCAGTCACCAACTCACCACATAATCAGCCAAGCCTTTGTGACAAACCTTCACTCACTCCCTCCCTCACAGACATGCTCATCCTGCCTGCCCCCCCCCAGCCACACCCCAGCCTCTCTGCAGACATCTCATGCCCAGAGTTAACAGGATTCTTCAAGAGATGAGACAGAAGGAAAGGAAAAGTGATTAGTGAACCCAGGCAGAGGCCCCCTCCATCCCCCCAAATTCACTGAAGAAACAGCCCTCCTTTTCTCCTCACTCCACAAAGGTTTGTGCACGTGACCAGACTGGGCACTGGGATTCTCACCATGACATCCCATCCCCCCTCTGGGAGCTCCCTCCTACAGCCTGGAGGTTTTTATTTGGGGAGGGGGGGTGAAGAGGGCACAAGAAGACCAAGTATTACAATCAGAGGGGGTTGGCGGCTCCAGCTGCACAGGTGGGACACTTGGGTTCTCTCTAGCGCCAGGTCACATCTAAGTACCCCCTGCCTCAACCCAAATGAGATGGGGAAGAAGCCAGAGAAAAAGTTAGTGAGGAGAGGGTAAGGCCCAGAAGGGTGAGAATGGACTGGCAGAGAAGATGGGCCCCCTAAGAGGGGCTCTGCCTGCCTACCTCTGTGAGTAAGAGGGATGAGGGAAGCTGGTCATTCCTGGGAGGGACCGTCCTCAGGGAAGGAGCGGAAGAAATAAAGGGAGTGAGATTACTGGGGCACAGACTACTCCCCCGGATCCCTCCCCCATGATGAGTTACAACCGGCCTCTACCCAGCTCCACCATCCACCCAAACCTCTGCTTCCTTTGCAGGTCTCCCCCCCTCCAACTTCCCCTTTGTGTCTATTCCCTCCGCCCCCACCCCCAATCTCCTGGACCAGGGTGGGCCTTCTCTATCCCATGACACAGTAGGTCTGCTAGCCTGGAGGGTGCGTCCCTCATCCTGACCTATCTCATGCCGCAACATGCCCTCCAGCCAGTACTGGCGGGCCCCAGTCAGGTTGATGGCCAGCGTGGGCCGGCTGTTCTCCACCATCATCACTGCTTGGGACAGCAGGTCCTCACTCAGCTGCACCACCACCTGCCAGAGGGGAAGGCAGAGGCAAGCTTGAGCTCTCCTCCCCTGCCCAGGGCTCCCTGGGAGGAATGAAGCTTGGGCTGGAGGCCTCCCCACCATGCCTCGCTCCCCAGGAGCCCCTCATTGTGGACAGACTGGTCCAGGAAGGATGCCTTCCCTTACACGGCTCACCTCTCCAGAGCAGCCTTCCTTCTGCATGTATTTGCGGACGATGGACCAGATCTGGCACTTCGTCAGCAGCTGGCCTCCCGTGATCGCCTCAAACTGCTCGTAGGTCCCATACTTCTCCAGGACTGCTTCAATGATCCCCACCGCCTGCCATACACACCCCACCGCCAGGGGCTGTCACCCTTATCTCAGCCACGGCCTCGGCCTGCACTCATCCCTGGGCCGGGGGCCGGCGGGAATTCAGCATGAAGCTGAGGGGGAGACCAGGAGAGTAGGGGGAGGGAAAGAGATGGGTAACACTGGAGGGGAAAGCAGCTCCTAGAGGGGCCAGAGAGGATGAGTCAGGAGCTGCAGGGAAGGAGATGAGGAGAGGGCCGGGGGAGACAGAGCAGGAGCCCCTTCCCATTCCCACGGAACCCACTACACCAGGGAGAGGGGGCCGACAAAGCACGGGGAGAGGGGGTGTCCCTGGCTCCCTGACCTGGGGGATGAACTTGTCTGAGGCCTCGTTGTACTTTTCCAACACGGCAGCTGGAACTGGCTCCTCATACTCAAACTGCGGGTTGTAGGTGTACCTTGATTGAAAGAACCGGGCTCGCTCTTGCTCCAGGTTGTTGGGTCTTAAGGCTACCAGCAGGCAGGGGCTCTTGCTGGCTGCCCGGCTTTCCTCTACCTTGCATTTAGCAATGTGGGGCAGGGAGGAGGCGGGCCGGAGGCGTCCCTTTCTGCTGGACCCTCCGACGGAGCAGGAACTCTCACTGCGCCGAATCCGACCACGACCCAGTGAGGCCAATGAGAGTCGTCTTATTTCAGACGTGGGACTTGGGACCTTGGGGCGGGAAGAGGCCAGGCCTGCCGGTTGGGACACAGAGGATCTAGGATGTACTGGGATGACTAGGGAGGGCTTCTGGGAGCTAGGGGCTGATATTGGTGGCTGGATAGAGGGGTACAGTTGTGGCCCATTCTGCTTTGAGATCTTCCCCACCCCAGAAACAGTTGGAGGGCTGACAGAGAGGGAAGGGGGTGCCTGCTCATAGGCCTGGGTCCCCGAGTCCAGCACCATCCTGCCCTCTGAGAAGGGTCACATCTGGGCGTGTGATCCCCCACTGCCCTCGATCCTGGCCTGTGGGGACACAAAATGACATGAGGGTATGAGACAAAGTAGGAATGACAAGGCAGGTATAATGTGATGTTGTGGGAAAAACACTGGATGTGGAGTCAGGGAATCAACAAAGGTGATGATGAAAGGAAAGGAGAATCAGGTGTGTTTATCATAAGAAAAAGAAGGGGGTGGGGAGCAGATGACTGTCTGAGGGCAGGTATCCTCAGCATCCAAGGAGGACTGAGAAAGGGGAAGGGTGATAAGTCAGTCTTCACCTCACTTAGTCCTCTAGAAGCAGCTGGTGGCTTAGTGAACAAAGCGCTGGGCCCAGACTCAGGAAGACCTGAGTTCAAATCCAGCCTCAGACACTTGCTAGCAGGGTGATCCTGAGCAAGTCACTTAACCTGTTTGCCCCAGTTTTCTCAAGTATGAAACGGGAATAATAATAATACCTAACTCCCAGGATAGTTGTGAGAATCAAAGAGATACTATTTTGTAAAGTGCTTGGTATAATGCCTGGCACATAATTCCTTCCTCCCACCCTTCCTTCTCTCCATCACTTCCCTTCCTCCCTCTCTCCCTCCCTCTTCCTTCCTCCCTCTCTCCCTCCCTCTTCCTTCCTCCCTTTCTACCTGGCCCCAAACACTCACACCATGCTTCTTCATTGCATCCAGCTAACTCCCAGACACCAAGGTATACCTCGGACAGCACGGGCATCCAATAGTCTGCCCTGCAGGCATACCCCTCTGCCCCCAATCTAACCCTCTCCATTCCCAACTGTCTACTCTAGCTCAGGGAACAATAATCAAATCAACATGATCTTTGGCAATGGAAAGGACACGATGATTGACTGCCCTATTTAACATCTGTATCCATCGCACCTAGCACACAGTAGGTGCTTAATACATGCTTGTTTGACTGACTTAGATTAACACCGAAAAAAGCCAATACAGAAACGACAAACTGCTGAAGGGTCAACACATGGGATGTTTGTCTTGGAAGTGACCTTCCAAGAACAAACAACTTCCTGTCCTCGAGAGTTCACCAGATTTCCAGCTTGGAGCCTGAGCCCCAAAGTCTATGAAGGAAGACCGGTGTAGCATCGTTAAAAAAGGGGTGCATGACATGACCAATGTGGAAATATGTTTAACATGATCATACATGTAGAGCCTATATCAGGTTGCATGCTGTCTTGGGGAGGGAAGTGGGAAAATTTAGAACTCAAAATCTTATAAAAGTGAATGTTGAAAACTAAAAATAAATTAATTTAAATGAAAATAAAAATAAAAAAAGGTTCAACAACAACAACAGAAGGGCTACACAAAGCACCAGGGGCTCTGCTGTAACTCAGAGAGAGAGCATGGGGAGGGCCTCAGTTCCCTTCTCTGTAAAAGCAGAGGGTGGGATAAGATGACTTCTACAATCCCTTCTTCCTCAGGTCATCTCTTCAGCTCATGACTTTCTTTTTTTTTTTTTTAATGAGATTTTCAAGGCAGCTAGGTGGCACAGTGGATAGAACTGTGCCTGGAGTCAGGAGGACCTGAGTTCAAATCTGGCCTCAGACACACACTAGCTGTGTGACCCTGGACAAGTCACTTAACCCCAATTGCCCCCCCCAAAGACCCTCACAAAACAAAACCCAAAAAATTAGACCTGCAATTTCTTCAGTTTAGGGAGTCCTCTCTCCAGTGGTGAGTGGCATTTTCCTTCCAATTTATAGAATTGCCAGGGAAACACAGAGATCAAGGGGCATGCAGGAATCACACAGCTGCCATGTACCAGATCAAGGACTTGAACCCAGGCCTTCCTGACCCTTAAGACAGCCCTCTGTCAACTAGACCACGTTGCTTCTTACATTGTTGTCATGAGATCTTCAACTTCAAAAAATTCTCTGAAGGAAATTTGCTTTAACTTCTTAAAAGGTAGGACTTCTATCACTTACAGGATTAGACGGCTATTATAAAATTCTAATATTTCCAGAGTCTGGGTCCAGCTACACCTGCCTGGCGATAAAGGACTGGACTAAATGACCTTCCAACTCTCTCCTCTGGCCTCTCTGGTGGCACAGCGAGTAAAGCACCAGGCCTGCCAATCAGGAAGACCCGAATTCAAATTCTGTCTCAGCCCCTAGTTATGTGACCTTAGGCGAGTCACTCAATCTCTGTCTGTCTCAGTGTCCTCAACTGTAAAATGGGGGTGATAACAGCACCTGATTCCCAGGGCTGATATGAAGACAACATGATTTATTTGTCAAATTCTTCAGAAAACAAAGTACCGTGTAAATGTTATTATTGTCGAGCTGAGTCTCTCTCCAGAGTCTTTCTCATCACCAACAAAATAACTCTTGTTACTTTATTCTTTTTTGGGGGGTAGAGGGGTGTCACTAAACGTATTAAAGGTTAGAATTTCTCCCCCTAAAATGAGACTCCCTCAAATGCATCCTGTTCTTTAGAAAGTCTGTGAGTGGCTCATGTGAGCAGCGCCTGCCATCAGGACTAGGGGTGCTGAACCTATGGAGGACAACCTGGTGTGGCAGGGCCCTGCAGGATCAGGGGCCTGCATCATGCTGCCCATTTCTCTGATGCTTCATAAAGGCTTCTGAAGTGCTTTCTTCACATAGCAGGGTGAGCTAGGTAAAGCAAGGACAGTATTGGTGTGCCCAATTCAATTAGGACATATTCTCCAGAATTATAAATTATACTGGAACTAGGGCATAATCCTAAAAACAATGACTGCCCCAATTGGGCCCAGACATAACACTGATCCGTAGAGATTTAAGAATGTTTCTAATAGAAGTCACTCTATGGAATACTAATAATGTGGGAAGCTTTCAAAACATAAACATCCAGGAGAAGAAATCGAAACCACGTACACGTCACACCTGTTGTCCTTTCTTCTACTGGCACTGTCCAGAAGATGCTTTCAATGAGCCAACAGAAGATATGCTGACAACTCTAAATTTTAATTCAATTGCAAACAAAAAAAAAATGCTCCCCTCTTCCTAACTACCCCATCATTGTCAAGTGTACCACCCGCCATCCTCCAAGCTCACATCCTCCCTCACCTCTGACATCCAGCCAGTCAGCAAATCCTGCAGTTTCTACCTTCAAAGATCTCTCTTAAATACCCCTCCTTCTCACCTCTGTTACTACCACCACCTTGGGGCAGGCCCTCACCTCCTGCAGGAGCCTGTGGGACGGGCTCCCTGCTTCACGTCGGCTGTGAAAGTGACCTTCCTAACATGCAGATCTGACCACATCACCCCTTTAATAAACTCCAGTGGCTTCTTATTACCTCCCAGATCATATACAAAATCTTCCAAAGCTCTTGATGAGCCGGCCCCTCCTGCCTTTCCAGTCTTCTCACACCTTCCTTCCCTCTCTGTACTTTGCAGTTCAGTGACAGCGGCCTCCTGGCTGCTCCTCAAACAATACCCTCCAGCCCCTGATTCTGAATGTTTTCACTGGCAGGTCCTCCTGCCTCCTTATCTCCACCTCCTGGCTGCCTTCAAGTCTCAGCTGAAATCTACCTTCTAGAGGAAGGCTTTCTTGATCTTCCTTAAATCTAGTGCCTTCATTCCGAAAACACCTCCAATTTATCCCGTTCCCTATCACCTGTACAGAATTGCCTGCACATTGTCTCCTCCATTAGACTGGAAGCTCCTTGGGAGCAGGGATTGTCCTTGACCTTCCTCTGTATCTCTCACTCTCCATACGGTGCCTGGCAGAGAGTGGGTACTTCATAAATACTTTACATTGACTGTTCAATAATTTGCAGAATTATTTGCAATGTTCAATAATTTGCAACTAGTAAGGAGATTGGACTGAGGCAGCTGGTGGTGCCCTGGAGACAGTGCTGGGCTTTTGAAATAGAAAGATTTGAGTTCAAATCCAGCCTCAGACACTTACCATGGGTGTAACTCTGTCTACCTCACTTTCCTCAACTGTAACATGAGGATAATGATAGCACCTACCTCCCAGGATTATTCTGAGGATCAAATGAAATAATAATTGTACAGTGCTTAGCGCAGTGCCCGAGTGCCTAAAACACAGCAGGCACTATATAAATGCCAGCTGTTGTTGGTGTTGTTACCCTCCCAGGTCTTTGGACTCTAAATATCCAAGGCCCTGCAGGCATTCTTGAGCCTAGGGGCAAGTTAGGGAAGGGGTTTCACTTTCATCAACCTTTCAAGGTAGGGGGAAGGGGCACTATTAAGAAGGATAGAAATCATCATGGAAGAAGGCTGAGAATGAGTACAAGTCCCCAGGGAACAGTAAATAACAGAAAATGAGGGAATGGGACCCCTCATAACTTTCAAGTATTGCTAAGAATTAGCAAAGGAGTCTCTACTCCCTTGTCTACAGAAAAAATCCTCAGTGTTTCTACTGAAGTCACGGAAGAAATCTGCAACCACCTCCTAACCCAACAAGGCCTGAGATCCACTGGCAGAGTATCGGACCCACCCAAAGAGAGGAAAACAAACTAGATAACTTCTGGCAGGTTATGAAGGCCAAATAGTCCAGCTGAGATTTGGAGCCCTAAAAACCTGGCAAAGAGCCGACTTTAAAGCCAAGGCTGACCTGGTAATTCCTTTCCTTCCAACCTCTCTGAGACTCAGTTCCCTCCTCTATAGAATGAGATAGTTGGACTAGGTGATCTTTAACGTCTCTCTAAGATCAAAATTCTGTGATCTGCCAGCGCCACATGGGGTCAAGACCCACAGTTTAAGAAGTGCTGAAGGGGTCTCGAGTGGAAAAAGTTTAAGAAGCCTGGATCTATACTTTCTACAGCACCCGGTGCTTGGTACACATAACATCAACAAATGCTCGTTAAATTGAATGGAATTGTTAAAGGGGGAATCCCCTACCATTCACTCATCACTACCACACGCCCAGTTTGGATCTGTTTAGGTATCAAGAAACACCGAGCCCTGAGGGTAGTTTTATGAACAGAAAGGTTTTGATGACAGAATTTTGGCTCCTATCATGCTGACTCGGGAAAATTGGACGATGATGGGAATGAGAGGCCACCAATTCCCAGAACCCAATAGTAAGCTCCTCCCAGGTCCTTGAAGGAGTCAAGATTTCATTAAATCAGGAAATAAGAGGAGCAGCAGGGTGTGTTTTGACCAGCTCCAGGAGTCTGAGATCTAGATGGCACCCCCCTACCACAGGATATCACTAAATATATCTTCTCTACTGGTTTCTCCGACACTGCACTTTTTGGTTTCCATTCTATCTTTTCTGGCTCTATCTCCGTTTATTTCATTGTCTCTTTGAAGACACAAATGTTTTATTGATGTTCTCCTAGTTAACTTGCTTCCATTTCTCAATGAAAAATAGTGAGGCAAAATCTCATTTTCTTCTTCTTCTTCCCAATCCCTTCTCCACATGCTTTACCACACAGAACTCTCTAAACTAACACTCTTTTCTATGCAAACAGATGACTCCCAATCTAACACTTCAGCTCTACACTCAACTCCAGAATCCTAGGCTTTAGAGCTAGATGGGCCCACTGACATCGTGCCCTTAAAAATCACCTCATCCAAATCTCTCCTTTTACTGATGAGGAAACTGAAGCCCAGAGAAGGGAAGCTTGTAACTAATAACCTGAGCAATGGTATACAGTAGCAGTCGGACTTCAAACTCTGATCCCACAACTCCAAAACCAGTGCTTTTTTTTTTTTTTAATATATATTTTATCTTGGCAATCAGCGCTTTCCCTACAAAGAACCCTTCCAGCCCACCCTTCACAGTGTTTTCCCATTTAAAAAGTTATACAAAAGCATTTACTAGAGCCTACTGAAATTTTGAGTATGTGTCACTTTCCATTTGTAGTTGACCTTTTGTTAATAAGAAGGATATGTGCTTTGACTTCAATAATTTGGAACCAACACTGTCCATTGTATAATATCATCTAATATTTACATAGCACCTAGACTGAGCCAGACACCATGCTAAGCACTCTATAAATATTATGTCATTTGATCCTTACAACAACTATGGGAGGTAGGTGCTATTATTATCCCCATTTTACAGAAGAGGAAACTGAAGCAAACTGAGGTTGACTTACTCAGAGTCACACACAGCTAGTAAGTGTCTGGGGCCAATTTTCACTACTGACAAATATTTTACTGGATGATTACTATGTATTTTCAAGTGCCCTTTGATGTGGTATTGGGAATAAGGTTGAGTTAAAATAAAGTCTTCAAGGAATGTATACAATTTAGTTGAAAAGTTAAGTCATATACGTAAATACATACATAAATAAGTATATATAGTAATGTAAAACATATACACTTAAAATTTTCGAATGGCTCTTGCCTTTGCACCCATTTATCTGTATACAGATAAGCCTATGGCTTTAAAACTGGAAAGGACCTTGGGAAAGGTCTAGTCCAACTTCCTCGTTTTACAGAATGGAAGCCTTGGCCCAGAGACTTGCCCCAAATCACAAAGCTAGAAAACAGAAGACCCAGGATTCAAACAGGTGCCCCCAAAATTCATCACCAGGGCTCTTTCCATTACATCAAGGGGCCGACCCAGGATTCAAACAGGAGCCCCCAAAATTCATCACCAGGGCTCTTTCCACTACATCAAGGGGCCGACCCAGGATTCAAACAGGAGTCCCCAAAATTCATCACCAGGGCTCCCTCCACTACATCAAGGGGCTGGCCTCCAGTCCCATCTCTTCCATGATGCCTTCATTTAACTGCTCTCTTCCATGATCGCCAACATTTAATGGTTCTTGTGCCAGGTCCTCACTAGACTGGAAGCGCTCTGCGGGCAGGGCCCTGCCCGATTTTCCAGTGACCACCACGACGCCCAACTCCAGAGGACCCATCATCCACGTTCCCACAACGTAGTAAATTAAAGGGGGTGGGAAGGGAACCTCAAATAGAAAGCAGGGCTTGGTGACGAAAGAGGAGGAACGGTCCTGACCAATGGGAGCTGGGAAGGCGAGGGGAGGGGCAATAAGGGAGAACGACCTTGGGCCAATAAAGAACCGAGAATATGGGAGGGGGCGTGACCCCAAGCCAATGGGCGGCCTCGGAGCTCACAAAGAGCGCGCCCGTCGGTACCCAATAGAAGGGAGCGGCCCCGGCTAACAAATAGTAAGGGGTGGGAAGGGGCTCGCGCAGCAGGAAATGGGCGAGAGAGGGTATGGGTGTCAGGAGGTGCGCACTCGCCGTCAGCCCCTGCCTGCCCCGGAACCCGCCCCCCCCAGCCCCGCCCCACCTGTCCACTCTGCTCGGCTCCGTCTGGCACCGCAGCACCGTGTCCGCACTGCAGCCGAAAGCCGGCCGCCCGGAGCCCGACGCCAGCACGCATGCACGCAGCGACGTGCTCGCGTCCGCCTTTGCGGCTGCGCGAGAAGCGGGGGGATTCCTCGGGGACTATTCTTTGGCGGCGAGGCCCGGGAGAAGGGAAGGAGTAGAGAGAAGGATCCGGCGTGCTACAGCTTCGGCCCCCGGACCTTAGGCCCCGCCTACCTAAGGGCGGGGCTTCGGCGAGCCAGGCGGGGAGCCATTGTGATTCGTGGTCTCGCTGGGCGGTGCGAAGCGAACCCTACACAGCCCCGCCCCTTTGCCGTATGGCCTCGCCCTCATACCGTGGTTAGCGCCATCTCTCCGCCCTAGATGATGACTAGCCCCGCCCCCTAGACGTCACGCCCCCATCCCGGACTCGCCCCCTCCCGCCCCGGGCTCTGGGGATGCTGCACTCAGCCCGGGCTGAGCGAGGCGGGAGCGGTTGGAGCTATCCCCCTCCCACGGGCAGACTCGGGAGCGGCGGCTCTGGGCGTTTATTGAGGGGGATCCGTCTCTGCCGCCCTCTCAGGAGCAGGAGCCTGCGGGAAAGCAGAAGGCCAGCGGAGGCGAGGGCACTGGCACTAGGCTGAAGAGTGGGCGGTGGCCGTCGGGCGGCGGCGACACAGGAGGGTTGGCCTGCATGGTCTCCAAGACGACCTGGCGCTGCTCCCGCGACACGTCCCCACGCACGTCCAGGAGCACCCCGATATGCTCCTCGCTGGGGAGAGATGGGGAGATGGGGGTGGGTCTACTGGCCCTCCCCTGCCTCTCCGAGGACTAGTCAAGCCAACCTCCCAGTACCTACCTCACATCGGGGAATTTGTGTAAGAAGCTGGACACCTCGAGGCTGAGCAGCGCTGGGTCCTGGAGGCGGAACAGCTCCTGCAGGGCACCCAGGACTGCCCCGGTCTGCGCGCTCTCCTCTAGCTCCTGGAACAACAGTCTGTTGTGGGCCAGGAATCAGCGGGGAGCCCGAGACCCCAAGGAGGAAGCATGGGGCATCACTAACCCCCGACCTTGTGGCCCTAAGCTGCCCTCAGCGAGGTGCTCTCGTCTCTCACCAAGCTAAGGAAGAGCTCCCTGAGCTGGGCTGAGTCCTGCAACATTCGCTCCGACGCCTGGATCCTCTCCGTCGAGTTCCGGCACACAAGCTTTCCTTGCATCAAGCTCCGAAGATACTCCAGCACCACGGCGCGCTCGCTCTCAGCCAGCAGCGTCTTTGAGGCCCCAGAGGAAGGGATGGATGTTCAGACTAGGAAGAACAGCTGTCCCCCCATCCCCTTCTGGCTCTTAGTAGATCCAACTCTGCCCTGCCCTGCGGTCACACACACACACACACACACACACTCTCTCTCTCTCTCTCTTTCTCTGTCTCTCTCTCTCACCGGCACACACACACCTCATGCGATATAAGGAAGAAAATGAGAGAAAAGGAACCTGGTTTGGGATGGCATGAAATCAGAGACAGAATTTAGAGCTGGAAGGAACCTTAGAGAGAATTCGGTCCTCACTTTACAAATGAGAAAAAGTGAAGTTTGAATAGGTTCATCATTTTCTGGAGAAACCAAGCAGCTAAAATGTCGCACCTGAGCCATGGGACTCCGGACTCTGGAGAATCGTGAGCAGAAGCTGGCTGTCCGCTCACACACATTGTCCAGCATCACTAGACCGGATAGCCACTGGCGAGAGGGCAGGGCCACAAACAGGGGCTGAGAGCAGAGGAGGCAAAGTTAGGCCCTTTCTGCCTCCTCCCCCAGTCTTGTGCCCCTATTCAGGCCCTAGACAGGTGGGGAGCAGGGAAGAGTGAGGTATGGTCCTGGCTCAGACCTGTAGCTCCTGCAGCAGGGCATCCAAGATCAGTCTGCAAATCTTCTTCTTGAAGTCTCCAAGGGCTGCATCGATGGCAGCTGAGACCCCGGTGGTGGTGGGCACCCCAGCGGGCTGCAAAAGGGAGACTGAAGAACTGCATGGTGGGAGAGGGCAGAGACAAAAAAGGTGTGAGAGAGGCTGGGGTGCATTTGGGGACCATTTGTCCTTACTTAGCCTGATGTAGTGGAAAGAGCACTGAATTCAGAGTTGGGAATTTAAATTCTAACTCTGTCACTAACTCGGTATGACCTCTGTGTGTGTGTGTCTTTGAGCAAGTCAGTCCACAACTTACAGTCTCACTTTCCCCATATATAACAAGCTAGAGCTTGAATTCTCCTTCCCAATTCCTTTGCAGATATTTTAAATTTACTTCTCTGTGTACCTGTTGATTCCCTCACTAGAATGTATGTTCCTTGAAGACAGAGACCATATAGTAATATTTTTTCTTTCTTTCTATCTGTCACCTAGTGCAGTGACAAGGGGTGCTTTCCAACCCATCTCTTTTCCAATCTGCAAAATGAAAATGACAGTATTTGCTCACCCACTTCGAAGTGTTGTGAGGAAAAATATGCTTTATAGATGCCCAGAAGAAATTAAGAAAAACAGACCCTCTCCCAGACCAAAAGGATTGTGAGGTTTAGAGCTAGAACTAATATTAATCCAAACCCCTCATTTTGCAGATGAGGACACAAGACCAGGGAAGTGCCATGCTTTTCCCAAGATCACACAGCTAGTCAGTAGCTGAATGGAATTTGAACTCAAGATCCCCAACTCCAAAATCCAGTGCTTTTACCACTAGAACAGGGATACCCTTGAAACTGAAGCCTTGAAGAGATTTTATAGTGAATTGCCTTACTGAATATATTCCACCACCCCACACCCCAAGTAGAATGAAAGCCCCCCGAGGGCAGATACCTTTTTTGTCTTGGTAACCTAGAATCTAGCACGTAGTAGGTACTTAATGTAAACTACATGTGCTGAATTGAATTGAATTAACCTCAGTCACCATTTATACAGAAGGTTACAGCCTTAAGATGCCTGAGTCTTCTCTTGTCCCCAGTCCCATGGCCTCAGCACACTCCCTGGTGGCCCAGTTTTCCCAAAACCCTTCCATCTCTCTGTGCAGCAAGTACCTTAGGGCAGCATAGTGATTGAGACAGGCCAGCAGGTATGGCACGTAGTGACGGGGCCTAGATGCATCCTTCATGTGCTCTTGGGAGAAACGGTCCAGTGCCTCAGTGAGGCTGTGGCCAGGAAGAATGGGTGAGCAAGACCAGCACCATGGCCTCCACTCCCATCTAGCCAAACTTTGGGGACAGGAGGGCCAGGAGAGGAGGACCAGGCACAGGGGAGCCAGGGCCAGGAAAGACCAGCCACCAGCACCGCCTTCTATGCAGGTAACTCATCACTGTAACTGGGCTGATCCCTCCTTCCCACTTTCACCCCACTATCACCCATTAGCGGACACTGGCCTCTAAGCAAGAACAGGGGCCTGCTTGAGTGATTTTAGAAGAGACCTCAAAGGCCATCTAGTTTACCCTGCCCCCTTATTTTACAAATGAGGAAACTGAGGTCCAGGGAGATTTAAATGATTTTCCCAAGGTCATATAGGAGATAAGCATCAGAAGTAAGACTTGAACCTAGGTCCAGAGGCAAAGTACTCCAGAGGCAGTACTCTGCCTCCTGGGGCATCCCACCTCCTTTGTTCTAAGCCCATTTGCCTCTTTGCTGCAGTGTCCTCATCCTTGACAACTTCCCATTATGGAAATGCCTATGGGATTCTATGCCAGCAGTCCGGGCAATCATAAACAATGTGTATGTCACTTTAGGGGGGGTGGCACAGACCTCCTCAGGAAGGTGCCCAGCTCCCTCAGGGCCATGACATGTATTCTCTCCTGCAAAGAAGAGCTGATCACAGCTGTCACCTGGATATTCTCATTTAGCATCTGGGGGTGGGAAGGGCCCGGGCACACTGTTAGCCAGCACCTGCCAGCACAAAGCCTTGGCCTCTTCCCCCACCTCAAGCAGTTCCCTTCCCCTTTCCCCCAATCCACCCCCCTTCCCCAACACACACCTGCAGAACAATAGCAGGCAGAGAAGAATGATAGAAGCCTTCAGGGTCAATGTCAGGCTCCTGTTCTCGGAACCATTCAGCCACCTCTCCATCCAAGGCCTTCTGCAGCCACCCAGCTATGTTTATCTGGGAGAGGGATGGGTCGGGGGAGACACATGAACAAAGAATAGACATAGGGAGGCAGTTAGGTGGTACAGTGGATAGAGTACTGGCCCTGGAGTCAGAAGGAACTGAATTAAAATCTGGCCTCAGACACGCATTAGCTGTGTGACCCTGGGCAAGTCATTTAACCCTAATTCCCTCCCCAAAAAACAAACAAAAAAGACATAGGAAGAAACATAGTAAAGAGAATGCAAGGTATGCACATACACTCCCCCCCCACCGCATATACACACACATATACCTGCTTTGAAGAAACAATATTCCTACAAGAAAGAGACTAGCCCAACTTTCTAAGGATTAGCACATCTTAGAAAGGTGAGCTCTCCCAAGGGGCAATGGGCTGTCCCTGAGGGGTTCCCTCTCATGGGAGGTCTTCAAGCAGAGGCAGGCATTCCACCTGGACATGATATCTGCAGGATTCCCCCTCAGGGAGAGATTGGACTAGTCAATGATGTCAAACCACTCAAACCAGATAGAAATGTCTGTGGCAGCGTTTTGACATAGAAAACCACATGTTAAAACTAGTTATTTTGTTAAAATATTTCCCAATGACATTTTCCTGTGGTTCCCAATGTACTCGGGAGTGTCGGGGGATGCATGCTACCCAGGGTGCATGCTTGACATCTCCGAACTAGATGACCCTAATGGTCCCTTCTAATGGTCAGATCCCGTGGGCCTCTTTTTGGATCATGGCTGGCATCCAGAGCTGGAAGGTCATCTAGGCCAACCCTGTCATTTTACAGAGAAAACTAAAGGTCACACTAAGAAGCAGATAGAATTTGAAAGCAGTTTCTCTGACTCCAAATCTTTCAACTACACCATGCTTGAAGGACAATAGAAAATGCATCCAACTAGGTTCTTTCCCTCTTCGTCTTTCCGCTTACTCCCTTTCCTCTGCCCTTATCTA